GGGGCATATGTTTGTAGGGGCCCAGTTTGCAAGTCCACCATCAACTCGCAACTAGGCGAGGGACGTATGTTTGCAGGGGCCTAGTTGCAAGTTAACCATGGACTCACAACTAGGGGGGCGTATGTTTGTAGGGGCCCAGTTGCCAGTCAACCGTCGACTCGCAACTAGGGGGGCGTATGTTTGTAGGGGCCCAGTTGCAAGTCAACCATCGACTCTCAACTACGAATCATCTTACTTTTTTGTAGTGGCCCTAGTTGCATGTCAACCATTGGTTCGCAACTAGGGGGATATATGTTTATAGGGGCGCAGTTGCAAGTCTACCATCGACTCGCAACTACACGTCGTACATTTTGTAATGCCCCCGGTTGCATGTCAACCATTGACTTGCAACTAGGGAGGAGGTGCATGTTTGTAGGGGACCAGTTGCATGTCAACCATCAACTCACAACTGGGGCGTGTCCAACTGTTTTGTAGTTGCCTCAATTGCAAGTCAACCATCGACTCGCAACTAAGACGCGTTGTACTTTTTTGTAGTGGCCCCAGTTGCATGTCAACCATCGACTCGCAACTAGGGAGGGGGCGCATGTTTGTAGGGGACCAGTTGCAAGTCAACCATCCACTCGCAACTGGGGCGTGTCCTACTTTTTTGTAGTTGCCCCAACTGCAAGTCAACCATTGACTCGCAACTGGGCCCGACACACCTCAGTTGCAAGTCCACCCTCGACACGCAACCGGGGGCTTCTTGTCCTAGTTATAACTCCACCCTGAGGCCCAACCCATTTTTTGTCACAGTTGCAAGTCCACTCTCAACATGCAACTAGACTCGACCCGTTTTTTCCCAATTGCAAATCTACTCTTGACACGCAACTTGGGAGGGGGCGACCATTTTTGTCCCCATTGCAAGTCCAACATTGCCATGAAACTGGGCTATTGATCCTATTTTTTCCCTAGTTGCAAGTTCACTCTCGACTTGCAACTGGGACCGACATTTTTTTACTGAACTACAAGTCCACGATCGACTCGCAACTTGGCTCGACCCTTTTTTCAAGTTTTAAATCCATCATTGGCATGCAACTAGGTCGACTCTTTTTCCCCAATTTGCAAGTTCCCTCTTCGAGTCACAACTAGTTCAAAAAATATTTCTGCCTCGCTTGCAAGTCCACCACCGACTCACAGATATGGTTGAGTTTTTCCTAGTTGCAAGTCAAACATCGACTCACAACTAGGCTCGACTATTTTTTTGTCCCAGTTGCAAGTCCACCATCGACATGCAACTGGGCCCTTACTCCTGTTTTGCTAACTCCACCCTTGACTCGCAATTGGATCCTACTTTTTTTCCTTTTTTGTATGTCGAGAACAATTTATTGAACATGTGAACATTTTTTCATATTCCGGGCCATTGTTTTTAATCGTCGGCCATTTCTTTTAATACGTGAACATTTTTGGAACTCATGAACTGTTTTTCGTATCCGCCGATATTGTTTCCCGAGCATTTTTTGAAACCATGATCATCTTTTTCAGTTCATGATTTTTTATATCTACGAACACTTTCTAAAGTCGTAAATGTATTTGGAACTCGTGATCATGTTTCCATATTCTTGATCATCTTCTTAATCCTCGACCATATTTTTAATACTCTAACATTTTATGGAACTCACGAATATTTTTTGAACACACGAACATTTTTTAGCTTGTGAACATTTTTAATATTCTTGGACATTTGGCTTTTGAATTTTTTCATGTTATTGACCATTTCATCAATCCACGTACATCTTTTGAACTTTGTGAACATTGTTTCATATTCGGGAACATTACTAGAACTCGTGACCATTTTTTGAACTTGTGAACATTTTCC